GATCATCCCCAACTTACCCATGACAAGGAAAGAAATCCTGGGAGCAAGGCCAGGTGGACACTGCCCCTCACATCTGGAGCCAGGTGACACTAGGGAGCCACAACAATCCCAAAGGACTTGGAACAGCCCCAGGATTGAGCTGGGGATATCAAGGTGAGAGCACCCCACTTCAAACTCAAGAAGAAATCACCTCTCCACTCCTTATTTTCAGGTATTTTTCCAATTATTGTTATCCAAGGAGCTGACAGCACGGAGAAGGGAGCAGGAGACAATGATGCTCAACAGGATCTCACATTTATTATTGAGAAGTGATTAATGGTGAAAAGAAAGGCAACGCCCAGTCCTCATTTGCTTAACAAGAAACTGAAACATAGTCACTACACATTTTACAATATTTCTTCCTTGGTTTGTTTGTTTTGGGTTTTTTTATTGTCCAAAATTCATTTTCCTGTAAACAAGACAAGTTTTTACCACTGTTCTCAGCTTTCAAAAAATCAAATTCATCCAGACCTAATCTTTAAATCTGTATAATGCACAAGAACAGAACGTTTTTCAGGACTCCTAGTACATGACTTTTAAGTAACAAAGGGTCAGAGAAAAATGAACCACCTTTAAGACATAACCTCGTGGACACGTCTCTTTTCAATTCTTCTTAGGCCAAAACCCCGACTTCCTCATAGAATTCCTCCTCTTCCAGTCCAGGGAAAGAAAAAAAAAAAGTTACTCCACTTTGCATGGTGGATGTTATAATTCAGTGTTCCAAGTGCAAATATCGAAACCTGGGAAAGGCCCAACAGGGTGGAAGGAGGAGAAACAGTGGAATTTAAAAATTAGAGAAAAAAAACCGCATATGCCACTTATGGACTTGAAAATCCAAAACCATAGTAAAAAGACAAAACCAAAGCATACGCTCTGAAATCACAACCAAAGCCAAAAGAAAGGGGACAGGTTTTACCTCTACTCTACCTAGAAGGGATTTTTTTTTTGTTGTTGTTTTTGGTTTTGGTTTTTTTAGTCCTTGTGATATTCCAATTTTTTTTTTTAATTGGAAGTTTGCAAAAGTCTTTCTGAAGTCAAAGGAATTAAGAAAAAAAAAGTCCTAATTCTCTCTGAAAGACAGCTGGGATGCAATCTCTGTTGCAATCTGTGCCAGAGGAATGGCCTTTTACTTGACACGGCCTTGGCGTTCCTGCAAAAAAAAACCCAAGAAATCATATTAACTGAGAGCAGTTTTATTCACCACTGTTACACATCAGCATTCCAAGATATGGCTCTCCCATGGAGCCTGTCCCATAGCCAGCAAAGTCAGGAAAAGAGCATTGTTCTTGTCAAAGGAAGTGCTGCTACTGCATCCAGTCATTGCAGAGATGCGACATTGCTGAGGTCAAACAGCTCCTCATTCTCCTTTTTTTCTCATCTCAGGTGATCCACCACCTGCAGAGCTACATCCAGCTCTGGGGATTCCAATATCAGAAGGATGTGGAGCTGCTGGAGGAAGTCCAGAGGAGACCACACCAAGAGAAATCTGAGGGCTGGAACATCACTGCTCTGGAGATAGGCTGGGGGTGTTCATCCAGGGAGACCTCTGAGGCCCTTTCTGGTGCCTAATGGGGCTCCAAGAAAGCTAGAGAGGGACTTTGGACAAGAGCCTGGAGGAACAGAACAAGAAGGAATGGCTTCCCACTGCCAGAGGGCAGGGTTAGGTGGGATCGTGGGAAGAAATTCTTCCCTGTGAGGGTGGTGAGGCCCTGGCACAGGGTGCCCAAAGAAGCTGTGGCTGCCTTATCCCTCTAAGTGTCCAAGGCCAGGTTGGACAGGGCTTGGAGCAGCCTAGTCTAGAAGAAAGTGTATCTGCATTGGAATGAGATGGTCTTTAAGGTCCCTTCCAACCCAAACCATTCCATGATTTTATGGAAAAACACCACCTGAACTCTCGTGTGGGCATCAAAGTAGGCTGGAGCTCAAACCCCAGCAGCACTACCATCAGCCTTGGTCTGCAGGGACTGAAACAGTCCCAGCCCCCAGCATAAAACTTCCCAGACAGCCCTGACACAACTTGATGGTACCTCACTCAAAAAACAAGAACTTGACAGGAAGTTCCTACTAACTGCTGCTAACACCCCAGGTATTCCTCCAGCAGTGCAGAAACACCCTGTCCAAACACCAGAACAAAGAGACAGTGCAGCACTAAAATACCCCCAGACACCAAAGGCTGCCACTCATCTCTGCTGTTCTCAGCACTCTGCGCCCATCTCCTCTGAGTTCTGTTTGGGTTTAACTGAGAAGCTCTCAGAAGCGGGTCCAGGCTTCCTCAAAGGGTTATGAGGCGTTTGAAGTGTCATTCCCAGATCCTAAGACACCACCTCAGAAATGAAACCTGTCAGCAGCCAGAGGGCCCTGAGCTGATGCTTCTCCCTGGCTCTGCCTCTTCCCTGAAGATGGGCAGGTCCCTTGTAGTCTAGGCATGACGTGCACTCCGGGGCTCCGGCTCCTGTGGAGTGAGTCCATCACCACACATCTAGTCGGAGAGATGCCAAGTCCATCCCACTTTCACTAAAGCCATACCTGCAGCAGGTATCCACAGGTACAGCAGGTTTTCCCTCTTGACTCAGAGAGGAGATGCTGTCAGGGCTATGAACCCAGTGCTTTGCTTCCGCTCAGGATACTTTCCTGCATGTCAGCTGCTCTGCCTGGAGTTGTATCACCTGAAATAAGGGCAGCAACAGAGTCCCCTGCCTGCCTCCCATGGTCCCATGCTAACTTGCTATGGGAGGCACCTTCCTATCTTGGCAGCTCACACAACCTCTGCAACAAGCAGAGGTTGCAACAGGCTGCTACAGGGAACCCCATCCTTTGCCACTGCTGAATGCAGGGAGAGCCCATCCCCAAAGAGCTTCAATCCTGGGACAACAGCATGTGCAGCCATCTATCCTTAGAAACCTTCCCAAAAAGGGAGGCCTGGCCTCCAGCTCAGAACACTACCACTGGCTTTGGCCGCTCAGTCACAAACCCAAGGAAATTTCACCTCCAGTTCTTCTGCAAGATGCAGAGCAAGGCCAGCACAATCCTCTGCTGTCTTCTGGGGACAGGGATCAGACGAAGGCATATATTCTCATCAAGAACAGTTACCCAAATAAGTCAATGCATTTCCCCTTTTCCTGTAGCTCTGCCCAAGTCTGTTGCAGGTGCTTTCATTGCCAAAACACCACTACATCACAGCAAAATCCAACTGCCAGGTGGGAAGCAGAGCCAGGCCTGAACACAGAGCACAAGAAGCACCACAGGGAGAGCCGCAAATCCAAAGGAAGGTGCCAAGCCCTGTTCCTGGTTCAGCAGCCAGCATGTTACATTACACAGGGACAGATGGCAATGTCACACATCCCTTTAGGAAGCATCTGCAACTGCCTAAGCTAATGTCACTGTCGGAACCCCAGGCTTGGGTCAGGGGTCTCGTGTGGTGGTAAAGTCTCTCCTCCAACCCGTGCTTCCAAAGAAAAACTCCGCAGCCTCTTGTTGTTCGGTCTCAAGGCAGTTCATTGCTAGCTATCTAAAAGATTGTCTTCGCGGGCCGCGGCTGTTTGGTCAGCAGCCCAGGCAGAGACACACACACTCCTGACACCCTCACTGCCTGGTGTCCTCTTCTCTCTCCCCGCCCAGGGCTGCTGCTGTCTTTTACATGATATATTACATGTTATATGTTTACAGTTTTTCCCCAATACCTACTACCTATGTCACAAGGTGCTTTTCTACTCTAAACCAATCCATAAGTGCCAGCATCACCAAGAACATGGAGGCAATGAAGAAGAAGGAGGAAGAACAGGATCAGCCCACTTTCCTCTATCTTAGAAATTCTGACCCCCCTGTACAAAGTAAAAACCCCCCTGTACAATACTAAAAAATGTTCCCCTCTATTTTGTAACTACTTCTACTATACTATCTAACCCTTTGTGACTGCTTGTTCCACCTTCAAAGTTGGTAACTCATTCCATGGCTCAAACTCAAAATCACAGCTGTTTCCAGCTGCTTGCCAGGGTCTCAAATGCCTCCGACCAAGGTCTGGAACCTCTAAAAATGTCTGAGGGACATTTTGAGTTCCAACAGTCACCACTTCCCAAACGCAGACACGGGATAAACTGGTTGCCATGTTCAATCATGCCCCGGGCATCTCCAGGGACAGGTCCTGGGCTGTGACAATGGCCAAGGCTCCTGCTGCACACATCACCCCAGCAGCTGGACTCCAAGCAATCACCTCTTCCTGCTGAGAAGATGATGGCACTCCCAAGGCCTGTGTGCAGCTAATAAGGAGCCAACCCCAGGGAAAATCCCTCCTTAAATACCAATAAGTCAGAAGAGAGGCTAGAGCAGATGTCCCCCATGTCGCCAAGCTAGAGAAGGGACCAAAGTGAACATCTTTGCTTCAGACCTGCTGTAAACCAGGACTGGGGAAGGGGGTCCACAAAGGTCTCCATTCCCCTTCAGTCAAGAGGTTGCCTCAAGGAACAAGACAGAGAGGAATGGAGGAAAGGTGGCTGGATATGGAAGGAGGTGTATCCCTGATTGAAAACCATAGAATCCAACTGGTTTGGATTAGAAGAGAGCGGAAATCTCATCTTGCCATGGGCAGGCACACTTTCCACTAGACCAGGTTCTTCCAGGCCCTGTCTAATCTGGATGGGGCAGCCACAGTTTCTCTGGGCACCCTGTGCCAGAGCCTCACCCTACTCCGAGGGAACAATCCCTTCCCAATATCCCATCTGGCAATGGGAAGCCATTCCCTGTGTTCTGTCCCTCCATTCCCTGTCCAAAGTCCCTCTTCAGCTGTCTTGGAGCCTCTTTGGGCATTAAAAGGGCCTCTGAGGTCCCTCTAGAGCCTTCTCTTCTCCAGGTGAACATCCACAGCTCTCCCAGCCTGGCTCCAGCCCTCGAAGCATCTCTGTGGCCTCCTCTGGACTTCCTCCAGCAGCTCCACATCCTTCTGATGCTGGAAACCCCAGAGCTGGATGCAGCACTGCATGTAAGGTGTCATCTGAGTGGAGCAGAGGGATCCAAGACATCTTGTCCTTGGGGTGTTACAGTGAGCATTCAACTACCAGCCAGATATACCAGAACACACAGCAAGGCTCAACCACATTGCAAACATTTGTCCTTCCTGGCTCATCCTCATCCAAATCCACAGGCTATGTAACAGTGTGTCACTGCCCACCCAGCTATGTGACAGCTGCAGAAGACAAAGAAGCATCTGCACATGCACACTGAGCTTTGCTCTGGGATACAATCCCTGGAGAGCAAAAGGAATTCCATCAGGAAGTGTTTTATGCCCTTTGGCTGCACTTTCATTAAACTTCTGTCATATCTTATTGATCCAAATGGGAGAAGCAAGAAGGACACCTGCTCAGACTCATCCCCATCCATCAAACCCCTCAGGAACAGGAAGGGCAAGAGCAGCATGGCATGGGAATGGCTGATACATGCCATGGCTCAAATCCTGTACTGACACCAACCTCACATAGAGCCCTTATGCAAACAGGAGCTCTCTCTGATTATACTACTCAAAGTGACTTCAGTCCTGTCACTACTGTCCCTAGGGGCTGCAGCCATGTCACAAGCCAGGTCCTGATAACAGCAACTGAGCAATAGTAGATCACCTTATATATTCACACTGCAGGGGAGCCAACAACAAAAGGATCAAGTGTTTGTACTTGACAAAATGACAATGAGAGACAGCACTGTCCATTTATTCAGAGGCTCTTACCTTGATTCAGCATCAACACTCCCAGCAAAGGTAAGGATTTTATTGCCACACCACAGATAGGGAAATAGCACACTAAGCCAAAGGCCGACCTGGAGGAGAAGCCAGGGCACAGCTCCCAGCTGTGCAGCACATAAACCCTAGTTTGTTGGGACCTGCCTGAGCTGCAGCACTGCCCAAAGCCCTTGGGCAGACCAGGTCAGGCACAATCTCAGCTCAGCCTGAGAAAGTCCTCCAAGCAAAAAGCATCACTCACCCAATGCTTGCCCACAGAGGAAACAGCAGGCAATTCCTTCACTGGAGCACTGGAACTCCCAGTATCATTCCCCAAAAGGCTAAGACACCCCATCAGAAAATCTTGAGCTGGACCCGTAGGGATCATCAAGTCCAGCTCCTGGCCCTGCACAGGACACTGCAACAATCAGGGTATTCTGCAGCTCAGAGCTGAAATCAAATAGCCATGATAATCTGGAGTGAGGGAACATGAAGCTTTGCCCACACCGAGAGGGCAAGAAGTAGGTTGGGAACAAGTTCACAAGAACAGGGTGTGGAATAAACTCCCCCTGGATGAGGCCATACCTTTAGGAGGTGAAAAACCCCATTGCAGATGGCCTGCACTCTCTGTCTGGCCCAACACCAATCCCAGTCCTTGAATCCTAGAATGGCCTGGATTGGAAAGGACCTTATAAATCTTCTAGTTCCAACCCTCCGCCATGAACAGGGATAAAACTGAAAAGATTTAAACAGTGCATGTCAACAGGCCCTTAAACTAACATCAACAAGTCAATTTAAATATTCTTTTATAATATTAACATTACATTAAAATATTATTTTAAAGACTTCTAACACAACACTAGCAGTGAGAGACAGGACTACAAGGCAAGTGCAAGTGGTTTGCTCTTCCACTGCTCTGATTCAATTTCAGTTGCAGAGAAAAGGCTCCCAGCTGCTCCTCTTTTAGGAATGAGGAAACACAGCTCCCTGTCTCACAGCAGAAAACAAGCATTAGAGCATCAGACAGATCTAAGTCTTCCCTCCAGTTTTCTCCTGTCTTTAGACACAGCTAGAATACGAGCAAAAATACCTGTGAGTGTTGTTAAAGGCTGGCTTAAAATTATTGTAAGCACAAAATACTCCTTACAAACAGCCAGCGCCAAGACACTGGAATAAGCAGGATGGTTTGTTTCTCTACCCCTGGGCAAACATACAAGCATGGACACAATCCTACAGGATTTAAACAGCCTGGAAATAAACCGAAACCATGTGCATTGCTGAACAGCACAGCAGAAAATCTGGCTTGGTGTATCAATCAATTAAATTCATTATGGTCATGATTTGGAGCAGAAAACAGCAAATAGTCCTGGGATCACCAAATGAAAGGAACTGTGTGAGTGGAAGGAGTGCTCCCTTGCTGCCAGAGAGAACAGTTGGCTTTACCATGATATGAAATATCCAGGAATTGAATCTTCAAGTCAGAAATACTGTCCTGTGGAACTTGGTAAAGCCAAAGCAAATGCAGCATTCTCTAGGATAACTCTAACAGCAGGAGGAAAGAGTGCTGGTCCACCCTATAGTGAATATTCTCTCCTCCCCTCTGAGATTACAAATTGGTAAGAAGAAAAAAAGAGCTTTGTAAAATCCATCAGAAAGCATTCATATTCCAGTGACTGTGAAATAGCCTGCCCATTTCAAACAGGCTCATACAACACCTCTCAGTTTTCCCCTAAATCACATGTTTCAAGGAGGCAGTGACACTTGCCAGTATTCCTTTAACCAGCAGACACCATCAGCAGAGGCATAAAGCAGCACAATTCCAGAAATAACAGAGCCAATCTGGCCAATCCCACCTCTGCTTTGAGGCTGATCCTCATCATGACAAACCCCAGCAAAGCCCTCCCCATTCTGCACAGCTCAGTCTGACTCAACACTCAAAGTCCCAGCACAAAGTGTCTCTTTTCAGCTGCAAACCTGACCACTAAGTGCTGTGCTCTACACAGCACTGGTTTTCATGAGATAGCCTTTCTAAAATCCCTGGAACCAGGGACAGACAAATATCTCAAGCCTGGGCAGGCAGAAAAGAATCAAAACAAACTTCCCTTGGAGTTTTCCACTGATTGCGTTTCCACAAAACACAAGCTGTCAACCTTTCACACCAAGCAGATCATTATGGGAGACCTTTACACCAAGGTCACCACAGCATTCCTAGAAATCCAAGTGCATGACCATGGGGCAGGGATTGGTGTTGTTGTTTTGGTTGTTTAAAGCAAAGATAGAATAATTCTTACATGGAAGAAGTCAGTGACAAGCTCTACCATAAAAGCAGCCATTCTGGGTTTCAGGAATGCTCTGGGCAGGATTGCACTGCAAGTCAGCTCCACCATTTTGGGTCAGGAAAATATTCAAACCTTTTAAAAAACTGGATTAGTAGAGCAAAGCAACACATGGAAAAGGAATGGGGATTAGTTTTAGAGGAACAGGATGACCACAGGCAACAGAAAAGGAAAAGAAAGAGGATTATTTCAGTATTTTCAACACTGAACTAACTACCCACACCTCTCCCTTCACCGGACAATGGAAACAGCATAAACACTATACATTTTTCATACAATTTCTTGGACCTGCTTTAGGGGATTCTGAAAAAATGACTAACAGTGAGAAGCATAAAAGAATATTCAAGATTTTCCAGACTTTCACAAGAGATCATACATCTGCTCAGGCAGCAAGCCAGAATCAAACTGCAAATGAGACAAAGATTTGGGCAAGTTGAAGCCAAGTGAAACAATTGCAGCTTGGGAGAAGTTCGAAACAAGCCAAACCTTGAAACATTTAAGCTTCAAGGAACACAACTGCAGAGCATCAACATCTCACACTGTAGGAGAAATAAAAGAGCTGGGGGCAATGGAATTTCCCCAGCATAAAGAAGCAGGCAGGGAACTGCTACCAGAGCAGCATTTTAACCTTCCAGTGCTTCAGTTCTGGTTCCTCATATATTTTTTTAATTCAGGTGATTACTTGAGATGCTTCAAGCAGACAAAACATGGTTTGGGCTTTTTGGCACCTCTAGTCCCATGGAAGGAATCACTCCAAGAAAAAAGAAAACACTCCTTCTGCAAAAATAACTGTTCCTCAATGAAACCATGAAAGAGAAGTTACAGAAACCTTGACCATATTCCAGGCTGTGTCAGCGAGTGAGTGATCGAGGAGGTCAAACTGTTGCTGTAAGAACGACCAAGGCCCAGAGTCACCTCCTCCGTACTGGATGTTACAGGGGCCCAGAGCATGAAATACAGGGTGAGTAAATAGCAAACACCGACTGTGTTTACACAACTCCCTTCTCCTCTGTGAATTCCAAAGACCTATGACTAAGTTCCTTTGCAGAGAAAGAGCACTTTTCTAATCAACTGCTGCTGCACCCCCTAGAACATGGTTCAGAAAGGCAGCACTGGTACTCAGACTATCACTGCTACTTTCAACTCTCCTCACCAGCATGTCTCAAGAAGAAAGGGGAGGAGACTTCAAAATGCAACTGGGAAGATGAATAAAGACAGTTTACAGCTTTAGGGAAACTGCTAAGCCTCATTTCTAGTATATTCCTGATTTTCAGACTTTACACAGCAAACAAAGCAGCCTTCTAGAAGAGCCCATCATTTCTGTCTGCTTTTCCCAAAGTCTTCTCTCTTTTCCTCGTCCTTCTGCTTACCCATCCACACCCAGTATTAACTCTTTTCAACCATCCATCCCTAACCTGTCCTTAAGGAGCATTTTCCCCCTTCCCCTGCACTGTGCCAAGGTCTGACTCTCTAACAATGCTAACTGTTGCTCCGTGAAGTCAGGTCTGGAGGGTATCACAGAATCCCATAATGATTTCAGCTGGAAATGATGATGATCTTGCTCAGCCCTTGCCATGGGCAAGCACGCCTTGCACTAGACCAGGCAGCTGCAAGCCCCATCCAACCTGGTCTTGAACACTTCCACAGATGGGGTAGCCACAGCTTCTCTGGGCCAACCTGTGCCAAAGACTATTCACCCTCACAGGGAAGATAAAGGCTGGACAACAAGTGAAACAATTCTAGGAGGTGAAATCACACAAAATAATCAGGTCCTCACAAAATACCAGTTTACACCTTCACACCTTGCCATTTATTATTCCTCCCTTATAGACTTTCTCCAAGGACTGCAAGTGACCACATTTGTCTTAAGTGTTATAATTTATACAATGCTCCGTGTAAAATATATTAAAAAAATTTAAAACTGCATTCACTGTCACAGTGAGCAGCTGCAGCTCCTGATTCTGTTCTTCAAGTCTTGGGTGAAAAATTCCCCATTGCTCAAACTAAAGAGATCATCAGAAAACTTGGCAAACTCCCAGCCAGCTGTGCTAATCCTAATTTTTATAATTATCATTTTGATCTAACATAAGACAGACCCACACTGAGGAAGGGCAGCCTCTGGTGACTTTACTACAGCTGAACCCAGGTAAGACTCAAAGCCCACTGATTCCTGAATTTGGGGCAGGATTTTCAATTAATGCATTGTTAAGGAGTAGATGATGACAGGAAGATTTGAGAGCAGCTGCAAGGTAAATTGGGAGCTCAGCTCATGTACCACACTGCTGGCAGTGCATTGCAGGTGACAGCCCACCATGGCCCCAAACAGAGCAACGAGAAGCACAGTGACTGTGTCCACAGGACAAGCAGTCATGGACTTCAATCACAGTGAGGGAGATTTAGGTTGGGCATTAGACAAAGCCTCCTTACAAAAAGGATAATTAAGAAGAGGGATAGATTGTCTGGAGAGGGACAGGAACTGCTGTTCCTGAAGGTTTTACAAGTGGAGGGAGACATCTGTCATGCTGACCCCACTGCAGCCAGAAGGTGGATTAGCAGCCATTCTAAGACCCGGCTCTGGTTTCTAACAACTTCCCAAATGCCTTGCTGGTCTCCAACCTCAAACTGCTCTGTCCAGGAGCTGATAATGGCAGAGAAATACATTTTGTTTACGTCACAGCACTCAGCAAAGGCTGAGATTCAGCATAACCAACACACAGTCAATCACAGGCAGGGACTGGGCAAGGCTTCTCCCCCTGCTCTGCCAAGTGCTGGCACCTATTTCATAGACCCATAGAAGAGTTTGGATTGGAAGGGATGTTAAAGATCATCTAATTCTACCTCCCTGCCATGGGCAGGGACACCTTCTGCTAGACCAGGCAGCTCCAAGCCCCATCTAACCTGGCCTTGGACACTTCCAGGGGTGGGGCAGCCACAGCTTCTCTGGGCAACCTATGCCAGGGCCTCACTACCGTCACAGGAAACAATTTTCTCCTACTATCCAATCGAAACCTATTCTCTCAATTTAAAGCCATTCCCCCTTGTCCTGTCTCTCTAGGCCCTTGTAAATAGTCTCACTTCATCTTTCCTGTGGGCTTCCATCAGGCACTAGAAGGCCACAATTAGGTCACCCCAAAGCCTTCTCTTCTGACTTTCCTCACAGGAGAGGTGCTCAATCACTCTAATCACCTTGGTGGCTTCTCTGGACATATTCCTCCCCTAAGACTGACTACTATTTGGGTGTGGGTTCCAGGTACAAGGAGGTAGATAGCCAAAAGGCAGGATAACGCCCGTAAGTCCACACCCCAGAGTTGGTCCAGTGCAAGGCAGCACCCACCACCTCTTGCCCTGCAGAACTCAGACAAGACACACAAACACGTTACCTTTTTAACATTTTCCTCCTCCTCTTGGCGTTTCTCATAGTGTGAGAAGTCATCAAAGATGGAGGTGGTGTGCTTGTAGGTAGCAATAATTTTCAACACCTGCTTAGCCTTTTCCAGAGGCACCTCCTGAGTGTCCCTAGAGTTGGTCACTGGTTTATTCTCGTTGTTCTCTAGGCGGATGTGTCGCAGCTGGCTGTTGGGAACATCCTTCACAAAAATCCACCTGACATCAAAACGTCCCTTCCATTTGTCCTGGGACCACACACCTGCACAGGTAGTATAGTCCACAGCAGATTTCATTTCTGCTACGCCGCAGAAGTGACCACTACCATTGACACTGAACAGTAAGTATACAGGGCCCTTCCCATTCATGGAGCGATAGGCTGCATCCAGTCTCTTATTGCCATGCTCTGTACTGCACCAGATGTTGTATTTAATGGAACGATGGATATCATCCTCAGAGTAACTCTTAATGATGAAAACCCGCCCGTGCTTTGGGTTCCAGTCAAAATCCTTGGGGTTGTAGTTGTTGACAGATCTCAACTTCTCCAAGACTGGGTGTGGCTCAGAAGGAGAACCGGCACTGGCCTGAGCCTGTCCCACTCCATTACCATCCACTCCATTCTGGCCAAAGCCACTGCCACGATTCCGAGGGGCGACCCAGCGGGTGGGTTGTGCTGGTGGTACAGGCAGTGGAGCTGGTGGTGGCAGTGCCTGTGGCTGCTGCCCACTCGGAACCTGGGTTACCGGTGGGCTACTGCTGATCTGCTGGCTCACAGGCTGCGGAGACACCTGCGGTGGCTGCTGAACAAGATTCTGGACCAAGGCCTGTGAAGGGACTTTTGCTACTGGCCCTTTGTTATCCCAAGTTCCGATATCCATGTTATGTTTTATGGGAGGAGGCGGAAGACTTGGCCCTGCAACACCATTCTTGGTCTTCAGCTTGGGCTGCTGCTTGGCAGGTTTGCTAGCAATGTCAGCCCAGGAGGTTGGCTTTGGTGGTGCAATCGTGGCTGGAGGCAAACTGTTCGAAGTCACAATGTTACCGCTCACAGAGCCACTCCCCACGGCTGAGCCCACGACTTTTGGGACACTGCTCACTATGTCTGTGCTGCCCAGCTTGAGGGCTGCCATGCCCTGGTCAATAGTGTTCATGCCAGGAGCCTTGTTCAGGGTCTCGTTGGCAAAGGCTGACTGCCCATCAATCATGGCCCCTCCCAGTGAGCTGGGAGCATAGGCATAGCTGCTGCTGTAGCCAGAGCTTTGAGTGGATTGTCCCTGAGAATTGTTATTCCCCCAAGCTGAAAAGTCAATCCCACTTGGAAAGAAGTTAAAGCCATGCTGCCCAAGGAATGGAGTACTGCCAAGGGCCCCTGGCTGCCCGAACATGGCATCAGGGAGGAAGTGAGGCTCCCCATTGCTCAGCTGTCCATATGAGGTCAGGTAGGGCATGGGGGGGTCTCCCCCTGTGGACCAGGCAGCTTCACCTAAGGAGTAGGAGAATCCAATGGAGGGACTGAAGTAGCTTGGTAAGTAGGAATCAGACATTGCAGTGTATGCATTATTCTGAAAGAAAACCACAAAAACATAAGCACTGAATTGTTAGAAGGAGTTGAACCAATTTTAAGAGACCAGGAGTAAAGGCAGCTTAAACTTCCTATGCCCTACTCCTCCCTCCTTTAGGGCTGGGCAGAGATATAGGCCCAGCCTTGAACACCTCCTTTGTTAGAAGGGCTCTAAAATATGTTCTTTTGCCAGAAAAGTTAAAGACAAAGGCTAAGAAAGGTTAAAGACAAAGCTTCCCGTGCCAAGAGGGGAGTGTGTGGTGTTTGTGACATACACTGGACACTGGGAAGCCCGGGAGCTCCTGCTCAGGCTATAAATCCAGTATCTTGCATCCAAATATCATCTTCTGCTAGTAACTACTTCCAGCAAGGGTTTTTCCTGCTTGTGTAACATACTTAATCCTTATTAGGGTGTTCGAGGGAGGATTTGGGGAAAGAGTGCAGAGAGGTGGGGAATAAGAAAGAAAAGGATTCAGTGGAAACACACTGTGAAAATCACTAGTGTCCCCGATTGCTTTCTTTAAACCTACTAGCCATGAAAACAGCTTTATTCCTACTATTTAAAGTTCCACACTTCACAATATTCCAAGCAATTGCAAACAAACAGGGATTTAAGGCCTATTCCTCAAAACACAAACTCCTCCAGTGCTGGGGGCACATGCTGAAAATGGGAAGTAATCAACAGAAGCCTTTCGCAGCACAGTGACAGCACCAACACAAACAGGTTTCAAATCCAGAGAGGAAAAAAAAACCCAGCTCCATGCCTTGATCTCCCTTTTACCATCCAAGTAGCCTTTAGGTTACAAAAAACAAGTATCTGATTTGACAATTTGGGAAGTCTCAGACATCCCCAAGATATGCTTACATGAAAAACATCTGTCATTTCTCATTCAAACCCAGGTCCCCTCTGGGAGTGGTTTCAGTCCTGCTAATGGACATCATCCTGAGTAATTTGAACCTGTGAGCAGCAGCCTCCCACTGCCCAGCCCCTAACACACTAGCCTGATACAGGTGAGATCAAAGGTACATGCAGTTCTCAGCTAAAAGCTTGGCTTGCAGCAGGCTCTGCTCCATTTTTTGTTGAATCACGTATTCACTTGCCAAGCACAGCTCCCAGAGGATTTTATGCCACACTGAAATCCAGAGAGTTTCTCAAGATGGCTCTGGCACTCTCCAGAAATAGCTGGTTTGCCATTCTACCGTCTACTTACAGGAGAGCAACAGGTTTGGGGCTAACCAAGCTCCAACTTCACAGAAATTAATAGGAATTATTTAGCACCATGTGTTCAAAGACAAGATTTCTGTGGTATTGCCTGAAAACTCAGAGATGCTCTTTTCAACCTTTGATTTCACAAAAGTCTCCCAAAAGCAAATCAGTAAAAAAAATTCATTCTCATTCAGGTTTTTGCTAACTGAGGAACTCAATCCTGCTAAACCGAGGACTCAATACATCCAAAGGCAGCAACACTGACACTAACTTGTAAGGAAAATGAAACTTAAAACTTCCTATTACTATTTTGAGCCAGCAAAGTCATTTAATAAGCTTATCGCCTCAATAGTAAGAGTAACATTTTCTCTCCTGAACTCAGTTTTAAAGTAACAGGAACATGCTGGCCTATCCCTAAATCTGAGGCAGAGCCATTTTCTCTCCACAGGAGCACTCAAAACACATCACTGTCAGATAGCACATCACTGTTCTTCTAGTCACCTCAAAATATTTTCCCACTTGTCAATTATGTACAACTTTGAGATATCTAACACAAGGTGTATTAAGCTATGACCTGCAAAATACTAAGCACCTGTATACATGTAGTAAGAAGGCAGCAGAGCAGTTCAAGAGTTGAGCACAGGAAGCTCAGAGCAGACTTAGGACATAATCACTGCTGTTCTCCACATGAACATCTCCAACACTGCTGTTTTATCAAACACAGCATTTTGCTCTGCTCCCCTGCCCTCACACAACTGACACACTTGCTGATTACCATGCAAATAAAACTCTACCAGCTTCTCATTCTCTCCATGACTAAGACTCTTCACACAGTTATTTCCTCAAATTCACTGTTCCTCTTCACCTCAGACCAAGGTTCTCAGTGAGCCTTGCTGTTGAGCTTTTGATTTTTAAAGGGTTAAAAAAATAATTTACTGTGTATCTGAGCTTTAAAATACACAGTAACCTCGTGAGAACTGATAAGAGTCATGCCTGAAAGAGCAGGTGGGGAATAAGGAGCAGTGAAACTTTACAACATGGTTACCCCACAGCTATGTGGAGAGCTCAGGAAGCAACTCCAAAACACATTTAATTCAATTATTCAGAGCAGTTTATCTTACTCCCTTTCCCATCTCCACCAAAGAGTGTACCCTTGGATACCTATGTATTTTTGCCTCCCTCCAGACCGAGCTCTTGAGGTTTTGGGCTCTACACAGCACAACAAAGAACTGAGTCACTCAAAGGTTCCACTCCAAGTTAACTTGGTGGTTTACCTTGCTCCAGCTCAGCTTCTGCCTCCTGGAGCACATTTCAACCACTTCCTTATTTTTAAAATGAATTTTTTACCAGCCTGAGACACACTGAAAGAAATTAAAGATCCAGGAATACTTCATCAAAACATGTAAAATAGAGTAAAATACTGTGTTGCTTCAAAATTATAGTAAACATTTTTGTGTTTAGAAAATTTAAATAAAATTGCAGTTTGTATGAAATATGTCCATATTCAGAAAGAAGTTGGGAATTAGGGATGTTGATAGCTGAGAAAGAAAAAATCAGCATTAAATGACAGCTACTAGGAAGGTAGCTGCTTTTAGTCAAGACTTGAGAATGCAATAATGTTCTCTCACCCTATGAAGGCTGAATTTAGGTTTGTAATTTTTCAGGAGGTTGAATACAGCGAGTTGTCTTGATGGACAGGCTGAATTCTGAAGATTATGAACAGTTGACAGACAAAGAATACTTCTCCTCAGATCTTTAGCACAAACTAGGAAAATGCTTGCTGAAATTTCACTGAGAGTAATCTGTTTCTGTGTCCCAATAAAATATGCATCAAGTTTACATGAAAAAAATAATGTAGTGACTAGTAAAAATATGCAAAAATACAGTAAGGGGAAACCAGAACAGCTTATTTTTACTGATCACAACTGGAAAGAGAAGCCAGAATAACCTGACTGCTCCAGTGCTATTACAGATGTTTATCTATAAACACCTGTACACCCAATCAGCTGAACTCCATCTGTTCTGTGTCATCCCCTGCAGCCCATTAAGGAAAACAAACAAACACACACCAGTTAACAGTGGTGTTACTTTAAGAGAAAGTGAAGAGAAAAAGTAGCTGCAAGTTTGACTTCCAGGATCTGGTCACAAAGTCAAAAACTCTATGGCTCAATTTGTAACCAAAGTTCTCAGAAAGTTTCAACACTTGTATCACATGTGGGCTCTGGGTTTGTGGGGTTTTTTTTTGTTTTGTTTTGTTTGTTTGTTTTGGTTTGTTGGGTTTTTTTTGTTTTTTGTGAAAAACTGAGAAATCCCCCTGAATCATCAGTTGACTTAGTGTTGAGATAAGATTGATCTGATCCTCCAAAAGTCAGCAGTAGTCTTCCGTGAAGCAACTTCACAACCCAACTCAGCACATTTCTCTGCTGTAAAGAACCAGAAAACAACACAGGCACAACACTAAAACTGAAAGAGCAGAAATGGTGACTTTGAGACAGTCACATTGAAAAAAAAAGAACTGGACACCAACTCTAGGAAGTTCTCACAGCCTCAGAAAGTTGCTAAAAACCTTCCTACCTCACCCACCACAATCTAAGGGCAGTCAATGCTGGTAGACCAACAGAAATGCCGGTATAGGATAGAATATAAGTAAAGGCAGCTAGCAAACATCAAAATGCAATCAATGGAGATGGGAAACATACAAGGAGGCCCAACTTCCCCCCCTTGGAGCAGCAGGAAGCCTTGCTGCTCTTGGTGCTCCTGCCTGCAGCAAGTACTCACCGGACGGGCCTGGGGACTCAGGTAGGGTTCAAAGTCATCATCATTCAACCCATCTTTCTGATGCACAGAGCCGTTTTGCACTGAGAAGAGATGTGTAATCTTAGAAAAACCTATGCAATAAGCTCTCATTATTATCAGCTTAAAGTATTTAAAGCCAAACCTTAGAACATAATGAACTTCTGCCAATTCTAATACACCACGCTCAGCCCACAACACACAGACACTTCACTTTCCCACCGCATAGGCATCACCTGCAAACTATCCATAGCCCAGCAGCCAGGCCTGGTGGGACAGGGTTTATTTCCCTCCCGGCAGGTTTTAGAGAGACCCTCCCTCTCCCGGCGGCGGGATCCTCCCGCTCCCAGCCAGGCCTACCCTGGGATCTCACCTTTGTTGCCTTGGCCCTTGGGTCTCTGGCGCGACAGCAGCGTCGTGGGGAGAGAAAACGGGAAAGCGGTGAGTCAGAGGAACAGACCCGGCCCAATGAGGGTAAGACAGAGCTGATGTGGGTAAACAGACCCGTCGCGGCGGGGGAAGCCAAGGCCCGGCAGGGACAGACCCGGCCCGGGCTGGGGAGAGATCCGGCCTGGCAGGGTCGAGCCCTGCGGGGACAGGCCCGGCCCAGCCGCATCACAATGGATGGCGGCCCTGGGACGGGAGAGGAATGAGGCCGCAGCCGCCGCCCGGCCCGGCCCGGCCCGGCGCACAACCCCTGTCAGGCTCAGAGGCGCGGCCTCGCCCAGCAGGGCCGTCCCGGTATCGGCGGGGGGGGACTCCTACCTGCTCCAGGAGGCTGCTAGCCGACATGGCTCCGCGGCGGGGCTGCAGGCGGGGCGGGGCGGGGCGGGAGGCGGCGGCGCTTTGTCCGGGCCCGGCGGGCTCGGGGCGGCCTTGGCGGACTCGGGGCGGCCGCCGGCGGGGCGGGGGGACGCTCTATCCCACCATGTCCGCCCCACGCCCCCGGCCGCGCGTCTCTATGGCCCGGGCCCGCCGCCTCGCGCTCCCCCCGCCCGGTCACGCGGCACGCGCGCGCCCAGGCACAATGGCGGGAAATGATGGGGGAAAAGACGGCGGGTGGCGGGGTGGTTAGGGTTAGGGGGGCGCGGTGCATGCCGGGACGGCGGAGGGCCGGAGCGGGCGGGGGAGCAGCGCCCCCATTCGGCTGGAAGTAGGAGACCTCTTAAAGGGCCAGGCGGTCTCGCTGAGGTTTTAAGGCAAAAAAATGGCAAATTCGTGCCCGGCTGCGGGCTCAGCCCAGCCTCATCCTGTCGCGCCGCAACAATTTAGGTCCCCCCGTCCCCAGTCCAGCATTCCAGGGTACAGAGGACCCAGGCAACATCGCAGTCTTTTGGGACCCCTACCCAGGTAAAAGGGGCTACCTGGGTGTTGGGTGGGCGTACAGCAATCAGGGATCCCAGAGTCACCCCACTTTCTGGCCAAGAGACACAAACAGCTCCAGCAGGGGCCTCACAGGATCTGCTGTATGCCTGGATTGGGGAAGGGGGTCCCCAATAGACCCCCAATCCCCTTCAATCAAGCGCCTGAGGAAGCCAGAGGAGAATGGAAGGAAGGTGGCTCGATATGGAAGGAGGTGGATCCCTGTTCCAAAACCATAGAATCTCAGACTGGTTCAGGTTGGAAGAGACCTGAAAACTTATCTTGTTCTACTCCCTGCCATGGCAGGTACACCTTCCACTATTCCAGGTTGCTCCAAGATCCATCCAACCTGGCCTTGGACACTTCCAGGGATTCAGGGGCAGCCACAGCTGCTCTGGGCACCCTGTTCCAGAGCCTCCCCCGCATCACAGGGAAGAATTCTTTCCCATAACTCCATCTAACCCTGCCCTCTGGCAGTGGGAAGCCATTCCTCCTTGTCCTGTCCCTCCAGGCCCTTGTCCAAAGTTCCTCTCCAGCTCTCTTGGAGCCCCTTAAGGCACTGGAAGGGGCTCTAAGAGTCTCCACAGAACTTTCTCCAGATCTGTGGGATCTGGCTCCCACAGCCATTCCCACCTCCACCCCAAGCCAGGAAACACTTCCCAGCGGCCAAGATCAGAGCAGAAGCGACCACCTCTCAGAAATCAAGGTTCAGGAATCCCTGCCCGTCCCCTGCTGTCCCCAAGGCAATGGAGGCACTGCCTTTCACCTCTCCAATGAAAAAATCCATTGGAGCTTAACTCAATTTTTCCTTTTAATGCAAAAAAATAGCCAGACACATCTTCCTGCCCTCCCCCCACCCTCCCCAGGTGTATTTCCTTTGCTTAATATTTCCAGCCAAGCAGCTCCCAGCCTCCCAAACCTCTGCATCTCTGAAGCCACCCGGTGCTTTCCCCCTCCATTTTCCCAGTGTGGCAAAGCCCAAATGGATCTCCAACCACGGAAAAAAAAAGAGGGAAAGTGGGAAAACAGCGGGGTGCACCGTATTTCAACAATGTGCCAGTTCTAACCCTGCCAAGAGATAATAGGAAGAAAGAAGAAAAAATAATACAAAAATAAAACCACCAAACAAGTAGCGACAAGCACGGAGTAGCCTCAGCACACAGTGTAAACAGAAGCTGTCCTGATCCAAAATCTGGCTCTCCCAGAAAGCAACAGCACAACATGCTTTGTACACCCTGAAAGGTCCCTGTGATGCTGAGCAGCCAAGGGGGAGGATCTGGGTTTGAGTTTGAGTTGATATTCTTTGCCTTATACAAAAGGCTGAAGTAATCTTGGAGTATTCAGGCGGTGTTTGCATCACCAAGCCTTGCCAGGCAGGGAAAGGGATGGGGGAAAAGTGCCATGGGAAGAGGAGGGATTGGGATACAGGGACCCTGAGAGAAGGTCCCAGGGTTTTGCAGCTGAGAGCTCTGGACAAGGGAAGGGAGAGAGCAAACAAATACAAAAAAATAGAGATATAAAAACAATTTTGTGTGGAGGAGGAGAACATGGACAGTAAATTCATTGTACTGTCAGCCTCCCCAAAGAAAGAAAAATAATAAAAAAATTCCATTTGAGGTGACAATGAAGGGTCTGACAGAATTCCCTTTCCCTGGGGAAAATAAAAATACAAATGAGGTACCTGTTCCACCCCAAATCCGTCACCCCTTCTCACAGCCACATCCACACTCAAGTGTTATTGTCTCTCAAATAAAGTCTCCCGGCCAGGGCAGCCCTGGAGCAGAAGCACTGAGGCATGGCTAGTTCCTCCTGGTTGGGTTGTCCAGCAGAGATCCAGTCTCTCCTTCACCCTGCCACAAGCGGTATTGTTCAGTGCTCAATGGAGACGGAGCCTTATCCAAGTCTCACGTGTTTCTCCAGCTTTGTTTTCAAAAAAACCCCCAACTTTATATATATATATATATATATATACATATATATATATATATATATACATATATATATATATATAAAATATACAGTACAAGGAAAATATCCATGGTAATAAATGGGGTGGCTGGAAAAGATACTTAAAAAAAAAGCCTGAAATAAAACAAATTCCCAGCTCTTCCCCTAACTGATGCTTGTCTTCCCCATTAGTCTTCCAAGACCACAATCTCCACATTATGGACCTGGTGCTGATGGTCTTCCACATCTCCCACCACTTTCTCCTCAGTCCTCAGCTCTGTCTCCAGGATCACAGCTTTGCCCTCTGATTCGTCTGTGTCTGCCTCAGGATCTGGCGCCGGGTCGATCTCTATGATGGTCTGCCCATCGTCTGAGGTGCTTTCCACAGCTTGGATGGTGGAAGTGATGCCAGACTCCATGGCCACCAGTTCCACAGGGTTGACCATGGTTGCCACATTTGCCAGGGCCCCAGTGTCCTGCATGGCTGCTGAGCTCAGCAGTGCCAGGCTGGAGGATGGGTGCAGGGTGACGGTGTCCGAGGAACTGGTCTTGGAGGATGAAACCACGGTGGCATATCGGAAGAGCTGGGAGCCAGATGGCAAGGTATGAACAGTCACGGGGCTGGAGCCTTGGCTGAGGGTTGCCACTGGGATGTTGCCCACTGAGAACTGTTGTCCAACGGGTGCGATGGTGATGGGGGAGATGACAGTGAACTGAGGCTGCTGGATTGGGGTGGAGGGGCTAAGGATGGTAGCGGAGGCTGGGCGCTGCAGACGGGGTCTCTTAGGAGGCTTGGGAGTGCTCATGGGCATCAGCACCACGTTCTGGATAGTTTGGGACTTGGTCTTCTGGTCCCTGGCAAGTTTCTTCTGTTCTTCCAGCTGCCGCTCCAGATCTGCATAGGGAATGATTGAGCAACATGTCACAGCAGGGTAAGTAGGCGCTCCTGGGGTTCCAGAACCATCACTCCCAGGTTTGTGACAGGAGGTCACCCAACCACCCAGTGAACCTGATCATGGCTTCTCCCTCAAGATCAAATGGCACTGAAGGAAAAGGGTAGGTTTTTCTGCCACCTACATAGACCCAGTCAACGTACCAGCTGCCAGCACTCGGGTAAGACACAGGTTATATTCCACACATGTTGGCTACTCCTACTGACAAAGCAATGGACATTTCTGCTCCCCACAAGCTAAACCCACCTGCAAGGGAGAGTGGATAAACCCCCCCCAGGCAGTTCAAATTGCTTCCTGAGCTTGGCTGGGTCACCTCCCCAGGACCCAAGCACCTGCACTGGGGATAACCAGCAGGATGCCTGGGTCAATGAAACATCTCCCTCAACACTTATCAGTGGGAACACTGGGAGCCAGAGTAGCACACTGACCTCATTTATCCAGGGCAATAGGGGACTAGAACATCTCAGATACCAAGAGATCCTACAGTACATGGTGAGGAGGGAGACACATCCAGTGAGCAGCTCTGGGGATCCCAGGTCAGTCAGTGGCTTCAGCTCAGAGGAAGCTGAGCAGGACACCCAATAGCACCATAAGACAAGCACATAGCCCTGATAGCCAAGACAAGCAGAAGCTCAGCACCCCATACTCAGAGACGCTTATTAGCTTGGGTATAGCACAACACTGTCCACAGCTCAGGTGACCATGGCACAGCACTGAGCTGGCAGGTCCTGAGGGAATTGGACTCATGCCTGCAGCACCCCAACTGCAGCAAAGGGCACAGACTTTGGGCTGTCCAACGTCCCAAGCAACTGCTCTCTGTAAGACAGGGGAGAGAGGAAATTTCATTCAAGCGCTAGGACAGAAAGGGATTGGGATGCACTTATTTTGGGGCAGCCTGTACTGAACACTAACCCTAATTAACTGGGAAAAATGAGTCATGTCCATTCCCAAGAGTAGCAGCAGGATGTGAACTGTTGTTAGGCACTTTACCTGCCAGTGTGTAAAGAAACTGTTCCTCTCCTTGCTCTGTCTGGTTTTTCCTGTTGTCCAGTACCTTCTTGACTGTGTCCATTAAGCCAAATGTATGGGCGACATTGTTCAGGACTGCAGCATCTCCAAGGAAAGGACACAGGGACGTTAAGACTTGGGCACTCAAAAGATGCTCCTGTTACACCAAAAATTTTCTACTGCTTTTTAAAACTCTCTCTGTTCTTTCAGAAGGGCTAGCTAAAAAAAAAGGAAACACAACCCCCTCATCCTTCTGACATGCCAGGATTAAATAATCCCATTCACACGATGAAGCAAATTGGACAGAGCTGTGTCACTCAAGCAGCTCCTAACTGCTGCAAATGAAAGTGTAATTTGCAACCACAGAGATACAAACGAGCTCTCCACCTACAAATCATCACCCCATGCTCCTGACAGTGTCATTAACATGACAAGCTCCACTGAAAGCTGTGGAAAATGTCTATTATAATCCACTGACTTTCATCACTCACCGTTCTCAAAACCTGACACCTACCAGACACAAAAATGTGCCAGCCCAAAGTTAAATTAGAAAATTAAAAAAAAAATAACCTGGGTAAAATGAAGTTTGTGGCTACATGGCTGTTCTCCCAGGAAGAGCATCAACAAGAGATATTCACAGGGGCATGTGCTGAACCAGATTAGGGAGCTTGTTACAAATTAAAAATAACCCTGAAAAGGGAAGGGGATTTAATTTTAACCCAGATAATTTCCCTCATCTGGTTCAGCCCCCCAAAACAGGTTTTCTGGAACCAGTGAAAGCAGAACAAGAAGTGAGGGGGCAGGACCTGTTTAGGCCTGCAGTGTCACAGAGAA